AGAACTTCTTATATTCATTGCATCTCAAGAATATCCTTGTCGATAAGAGTACAGACGCAATGCACCCTCAGCAATCTTCGCCATGTTGGAGGAAAAATTTCTCTCGATAAACAATTGCAGACTTCTGAAGTATGGTGGGCGTCGAATTTACGAATTTTAAAATAAGTGTACTTGGAGAAAATTTAGAAGAAGAACTTGTCGAGGTGGATGAGAAAGCGAAGGACGCCGGTTTCGTTTCGCAAGGTTGAGAGAAGCCGTCTAGAAATACACCCAGGCTTATCCACAATCGTACACTTTTAACCACATTTTCTGTTCTTGAATAAAAACATCAAAGGGAAGTAATTACTGGAAAGTTAATGGAAGAATGAGCCCAAGGAATTGAGTTATTTCATGGCAAGAACCTAAGGGAAATCCTTTTATTCTCCACGAAAGTATCTCCCAGTAGCGTGCGATGTATAAGTGGTACTGACGATTAATGAAAGACCCAATTCTTTGGGTCTTAGAACTAAAGCCGACCGGGAATAAATATAAATGAGACTCGATTGCGAGTCGTAGTATTTGAGTTAGAAAATTTATCAAGTAAAGCGTTTTAACTTTGTTGCTAGAATTGGAAACAATACCTTAATTTTTTTTATGTACAATTTATAATTTTTCTTCCAATATTTTGATGATTGACCCAGTCGCCAATATTAACTACTATAACTTTGTATTAGTCGTTTATCAGCAACATATCTCCCAAGAAGTTTACAATTAAGTGACCAGAATGTGGTAATATATTATATGAGTGGATTTTACTTGTCCATTGTTGATTTCACGAACGAAATGTTTTACACATATGTAGAGTAGAGTTCGTTTAAAGTATGTTTCGTGCTAGAACACTAGTATCCACGCCTACTGCATCACCCATCCGACTTTCCATTTTTAAGAGTTTCGTACAAACGCTACAGCAAGCAACTGGTTTTAGCAGGGTTGAAAATGGGATCTAACGCCAACAAACCAATCATACTTAAAAAAGAAAAAAAAAATTAAAAAAAAGCTTTGCTGAACCTCTGCAAATTTTTGCACTACGCGGACCTCCCAGCAAACAGATAACTTAACAGTTTCGTTATCAGTCACTTACATGTAAGCAGAAGAAGGTACTTGTTACAATTCTTTTCTTAAAAATCTTTATTTTATCCTGTCAAGTTTACAATGCAATTTTCCGTTAAAGAAACGCTTTTTTTTCTGCTTGAAATGTTTTACACTTGACATGCACTTATTCCTAACTACTAACTACGGTTAACTCGAACGGAAGGATCTCCGTTAGAGCTGGGGCACGTGTTGCACCAGTATTTCGATGGAACCTCGAAGTGCCTGGTGCCACCTAACCTGACCGCTCTTTAGTATATTCCTGCGAAATCCTTGCAGGTCTTTTGAAAGTTACGCCTTTTTGAACATAGCTTGGACATATCCCAATAGAAAGCGTTGTCGCACTGCAACCGAGTCCAGCTGTAGCGTTGACCCTGTAAAGAACATACAGAATGGTCTTAGCTTCATTGATAAAACTTTTGCATTCTTTAAAAAGAATATTGAACTGTAAACTGTTGTTTTAAAGTAACATGCCTTGGATTGAAAGGTGTGCTACTTTAAAAAAAGACTTCTGTGTAAGAAAATTTCTAGGTTTGACGTATCCTCGTTTAAGGTAAGTTTTGAATTTTAGTTTGTTACCAAATCAGCAGTAGTTGGATATAGTAGGATATACTGAGACAAGTATAGCAGATATCATGCTTTTTTGAGCCATATTTTCGAAGTATTTTGAAGCTGAGGAAAAGATACTCACGCAAGAGTAGCAGATATCGTGTTTGTTGCATGCACTTTTGAAGAATCTTTTGTAAGGAAACGGCAGGTTTCCAGGGATGCTACAGCCATTCGTTTCACAATATCCATTCACCCCCAGATTCAGGGATGAGAATAACAGCAAGCCGAAGACGGTGAGGATTGCTGTTGTCATGCCGAAATTCTGTTAACAATATGAAAGAGTTAGAACCTAAAACTGGTAACTCATAATCCGTGAAAACGGCTCATTGTTTGCTCACTTGTTACGCGAAACTTATTGTAACTCCTTGTGCGCACGTTCATCAGACAGTGGCTCTAACTATTTTAGTGGGTAAATGATTATTTAAAAAATATAATAATCCAACTTTAACCCATAAGTTTGAAGAAACCTTCATAGAAATTTTGGGCTAGTGCATGCATCTGTGTGTTGAAATCAATATATTGTTTGCACGACTCTGTGGACTTTCTTTACTTTCAATTTCAAATCCACACATGGTTGCTAGTTTTTGCAATGTAAGACATTTTTTTCTCTGTAAGACAATGTTGGAATCAGCTTTTTGACCTGTCCAATGCTTATGTTGTGTTTTGGCTGAATATCTTTGCAATTAATCAGAAAGGTGTGTATCTTTATGGTTATATGTGCAAATTTGACAGATTCAATGACAAACATTTGCCTGAAAAAGATGAGTTCTTCAGTATCCTCAACAATGAACATATTTCTGATGAACAATGTGAACATGCACAGAAAGTCTGGCTCACATTCAATATTAAGATCAAGGAAGATTATCATGATCTGATTCTTGGATTTGATGTATTACTCCTTGCTAATTTTTCTGAAAACTTCAGAAGCGCACTTTGTAGTACTACAAGCTTGATCCATGACATTAATTAATTCGCATCTCCTGGTTTGTCTTGGGTTGCAATGTTGAAGATGACTAATGTAAAGTTTGATCTGATGACTGATACTGACATGTTTCAATTCGATCATTGAAAAAGGCATGCGTGGTGGTATCTCTTATTTTTCCAACAGATATGGATAAGCCAATAACCAATACATGAAAGATACAAGCGCTCCACGAGCTCTTGACAATAGTCCCTTTTACAGTTGTGAGCTTGGTGGCCAAGCCTTTGAACGGGAGTGAGGCTAAGGGTAACCCTGTTGTGATAGAGACCTGTATCTAGTTAGCATAATAACAAAGTAATTTGCATTTGAAAAGCAGCAACATCTCCATCATAACAAGGTCACTCTAAGCCTCACTCCTGTTGAAAAGCTTGGCCACCAAGCCCACAACTGTAAAATGACTATTACCTTGAATACCTTTTGCACAATGTACACGGCAATCCCGAGCGGGCAAGATAGGCCCCGTATTGCCCGCTCGGGAAGCCAATCAGAACACAGGATTCACTTCATCTTGCCCACAAGCGCAGCGAGCGATGTAATAATTTGCAATAATACAAGTTCGTAAAATTGCAAAATTTTTCCAAACACCACTGACCACTTCGCGGCTCGTGGTATTTTGGATAATTCTGAAATATCACTCGGGGTATTACTGCCAAATACCACTGCAAGTGATGCTATTACCAATACTAACACCATAGTTGTAAACACCCACAATACAGGGCCTCAGTTTCTGATGAAAAAAAAAAATCAACAGTCGTTCACTGATAACCTGATACTTTATTTCCCACAATTGGTCCGAGTTTTCTACGCGTTCTAGTACAACACATCGCCACAGCTTTCCTTTCTAATCTAACTGCATATTCTTATATATTTAGTGCCTTATTAGGATATTAGGATCTCCGAGATCTTTGGCGCATGCTTTCTGACACCACGGAGGCGAATTTTTCTCCCAATGTAGATGACCAGCGATTCTAACAGCAGTGTAGTAGGCATCCGCTCCCAAACTCTTACACCTTTTTTCTTTGGTCAGCAGATCTCCAATGAACCAACGTTTTCCCTTTCTTTCGCACAGTTTGTACATGTCGCGTTTAAAGGCCTTGTCACATTGCTCCTGATTCCATCGGTAGAGTTCACCCTGGAAAAGTTGTCCAAATAAACTTAATATATAGATTTAGCCAAGCCTAAAAGCGGAGCTCGCATTTTTTTCCCCGCACGTCTCAAGGGGACAACGCCTTGCCCCGGCCGGGACCCGGAGCCCAGGGCACTGACCACTGGACTACTGGACAAAGCCGTGGCGTTGGCGTTCCCGCGGTACAGTTGACCACGCGTGTTAAAAGTAGCACCTTGTACGGACGCCCGTACGGTCATAAGTCCAAATATTTTCCGCTTGATGGGGTACTACTACCATTTTGTATAATTATAAGGCTACACTCTGCAGGCTGTGCTATCAATAATATATCATAACAACAATTCGAGCGGAACTCTCGAAATATAGCGGAGCGAATTTTGATGTCAGTTGTGGTTTTATTAATATTAAAATTATAAAGTAAGCTCTAACATCTAATATAGGCAGAGGAAGACTGGGGACAGGTACCTTTAGGATGCTTTCATCAGCTGTAAAACACAAATTTCGGTTGTGGTATTATAATATGACTGTATAATTGTGAAAATCAGATAGACAGGCGTGGAGACTTACGCAGTAATAGCAGACATCGTGTTTGACGCAAGCCGGAGTGAGGATGGTTTGATAGGGAGCCTTTAAGCCAAGCGGGACACTGCATCCATTGGTTTGGATAGTACAATCTGACCCAGCTGAGATCACTTCCCAACTCATCGACAACAGCAACAGCCACGCGATTGTGAGAACAGACACGTTACCCATGTTGATCCTGTGAAAAGTTTTAAAACATGTGGGCCTGTAAGGTAATCCAGAACTCCATTTTTTTTTTATTACGCTCTGTGATTTGTTAAAAAAGAAAAAATTAATCAGGCGTCATTGGTTATGAGCGCAAAATACGACATGGCCACTCATTATTTCCGCGCTTTAGCTAGTTTTACTTGATTTGCTTTGAGTTATAATCGGCGTTTTTATATTAGAACATTTGCCTCTGTTATGATTGGCTGTTGCCGTTATTTTACTTATGTTTTTACGCCACTCAGTTACAATGTGCTCTAATAAAATCATATCTGATTCTCTCGATGAAAGCTTTCAAAACCCACAAATGAAGTTGGAGATCGTGCGCAATCTGTCATTATACAACTCAAAATAATTCTATTTAAACGCCTGTTTTTTGATAAGATTATAGCCATAACCGTGATCATGTTCAAGTAACGTAGCATTCGCTCCGACGAAGGGCTAACGCTCGAAAAGCGTCAGCTTTTGTAATCGTTACGGTGGCCAATTTACCATTTCAACTTTGTTGATATATCTAAATTATAACGTAGCATTAGTTTGCTCTTTAAAGGGGTCTTGCTACGCTAAGAACAGGAAGTATCAAAATCAAATCAAATACAATCTGTTAAGCACGAATGTTAACGTTGGGACAAAATTTAGTTGGACGGGATGAAAAGCGTGCGATAGCGAATAACCAGATATTTAACCATGGCGAATAAAAAGTAAAAAACATGTAAAGAACGACGCCAACGCGCTCTCATTGTTAAAGGTTTATTTTTTTACCAGCTTATTGAGATGAAAATAGGCAAAATTTCGAAAGCATGACGGGAATATACCCGAGGCGAAAATGCAGTTAAAAATAATTTTGCAAGTCCATGAAAAAGGGTGACTTGATTAAATCGCACGAAACTTTTATTTCTATTTCACCCAGGAGTTTTTTCTCTAACAAAACTAGTGCGGAGATACATGTGATGGGCAATTTGAACATAGAATACAAAAGATTTTTAAAAAATGTTCGGTGACGAGGGAAGGAAAAAAAATATGTTAAGCGTTAACTAATATTCCCTCGTAGGTTAAAAAATACTAGAATATTAAAAAAAAAAGTACGGTGCAAGAATTCGCACTGGTTCACGTACCTTTCAAGTTCTCTCCAACGCTTTTAAAACCACTTCTGATACAGGCAAAGTTAACTCCAGAAATGTTGAAGGTAAATAACAGAGAGGGTATTTTTATTTCCTACGTAGCCCCTCCTCTTTCGCTAATGACCAATGGATCCAAGCAACGCGTGTGAATTTAGACGGGTGAACTGCAGTACCTCAAGATTACAAAGCGTTAACTTTGACACTTAACTTGTTTATCCGTGTAAAATTATTTTTTGAAAAGTTCAAATTTCAGATGTCAATTGTCTATTAAAATAGGTTTTCACTTGTAAAAAATTTAAATGTTTACCGACTATTTCACTTGTGAGACCATTTCAGATGCGAATCCAATTTAAGGAAAGAGTTCAGAGTTTGTAAGTACTTTAAAATAAACCAAAATTTGAAAAATTAAGGTTTTCTTAGCTTGGTAATACCCACTAAATCCAAATTTTACTGTTATCTGCCTTTCCCCACACCGTCACATCCCTTCCCAACATTATGATTAAATTGTTTTAAAATCATACATAAGACAAACTGAACAAATGCTGAACTAAAAGCTAAAAACCTGAACTCCACTTTCTTTCAATTAACACGTCGAATCTCGAATTAATCAAACAGCAAATCATCTAGATTCGTCCCTTTCAGTTTTCTCTACCTCCCTTTACACTCTACAGCTAAGACAGGAAAATGTTGACACTTTCAAACGTCTCTAGCCGAAAACTGAAACCTCTTTTGTTTGACGCATGATGTGTTTTGCTCATTATGGAAATGTCGCCCTTAATCGATCCACATTTTAGTTCATCAACCCTTCCCCGCCAAGATTTCAATAGCAATTCTCCTTACTGTCCAACATACAATTTTATGACATGAATTTGGAGAATTTGGCAATGGATCGACTTTATTTCCCTAATTGACATTTTTTCCTTACTGTCTTCGCTTTCCTGCTTGGTTTTGTATCGATATTGCGAGGAGAAATTCTCTATTGGTCACTAAGCTTCGAAATTCGCGATTTTTTGCCAGATTTCACTTAAATTTCATTACGGTACTGTCACACTTTTATAAAACAGCGTGAGAAAGTAGCTACTGAATCAGTGTGGCATTCTATCAAGTTGCGAGTCCCTATTGAGAAGAAAGCTCCTAAATAAAAACGCTCAGCTCGAACTGAGGACTGACGTAATTGTCACGAAATAATGAAAAAAGAGTTTTAATCCAATTTGACATTGCCTTAAAAAATGGTGAAACACAAATTCTAAAATTAAAATGGTGAGAATAACCAATCACAGTAGAATTTCAACTAATGGATTAAATGAAAATTTGTATATAGAGTAAATTTCATTAAATTATCATTTACACAAACCGTGGGTGATTACGAAAGAGGAAGAACTCTTGTCTGCAAACAATGCAAGGAATGGGGTATGTTAAACTATCTTTTCCCTGTTTTGGAAGCTTTTAGGCAGGTCATTTCTTAGGAAGTAAATTGAAATGAAAAATGGCGCTGGAAAACTTTTTTTACAGAACAGCTCGACTCTACAGCCAAACAGTGTTAAAACGAGTTTCGAAACGAGTTGTCTGTTGGGCATCGAAGCGCGAAACCAAAAGTTCTTAAGTTCGAATCCACGATTTTTTCTGTGATGTATAAAAAACCATTTTTTTCGTGATAACACTTTTTCTCCGAGCTCAAAATCTGTCTTAAGTTAGTCAAACATCTTTTGTTTATTAGTCTAAAATGAAAAACTACCTGAATTATATCATTAGAAATGAATGCGAAAGGTCTTTATAACAAGTGCCTCCTTACCAATCTGCAAACATGAAACCCAAGTTCTTAAAAAGCTTAAACAATCTGACGCGAACAGATCCTCCAATATAACAACTAGCAAACGGTTTTCAAAAAATGTTTACCAGTTTGCCAAAACACCTGATAACAGCTTACCATTTCCCTGGCTTTTAAAACACCCTTCCTATACTAGATTATTTGATTTGTTTTGAATAAAAGCTGATAGTTTCTAAAGAAACTGTTTGGGTCTGTGTCGGTGGGGGTAACGAAAGGCGATGTAGATAACAGAGCCATTACTAAGTAGTAAATACAGTACCTTTTTGCAATCCTGCGAGCTCCTTGAGGAGTAGTAAAATCTCAGTTTGTAAAAAGGGAAGAAAATTTTTCTCACTCAGTGCGTGCGATACTGACAGACGAACTGAAATTCAATCTAATTTAAACTTCGCGTAACCTTTGGAAAATTACACATATGTCATATCATTCTTGAGAAATTAGCTGTCATACATGGGTAAACTGCCATGCGCAATTTCGTCATCAAGGCGCTGGGCTGGCAAAACGCCACGAAACTGAATTTACTCAATCGCAGGTTTTTCTTCTCCAAAAATAAATACCATTTGTCACTATTAGTAGACGACTTTATGCAAGAAAGCCTTAGATTTTCGTTACAGAAAAATGATCGGTAAATTGGACAATACATATATGCCTTAGGCTAAGCGTGAGGTCAAGTTGGCTGGATATTGACTGAGTTCTTTTTTTACATTTTTTTATGGACCAAGACGAAGTCCTTGAAAACACAAAAGAAAGAACGAAGCTAATTTCATGCTTGTTACAAGCGGGGGGAACATCGTTTTGTACACAAAAGGGAGGCCAAAGGGAATACTGCAGCCATTGCGGGATGAAAAGCGTGCGATAGCGAATAACCAGATATTTAACCATGGCGAATA